TTGGGGGTGCGCTGCCCATGTCGGGGGGCAGAGTCTGACCGTTCCCCCCCCCGTTGTCCCCAGAGGATTTCCACGCGGTGGAGGCGGGGGCCAGCACGACGGGCAGGATGCGCTGCGTCATCTGCCACCGCGGCTTCAACTCGCGCAGCAACCTGCGCTCCCACATGCGGATCCACACCCTGGACAAGCCCTTCGTCTGCCGCTTCTGCAACCGCCGCTTCAGCCAGTCCTCCACCCTGCGCAACCACGTCCGCCTGCACACGGGCGAGCGGCCTTACAAGTGCCAGGTTTGCCAAAGTGCCTATTCCCAGCTGGCGGGGCTGCGGGCCCACCAGAAGAGCGCTCGGCACCGGCCTCCCAACGCCTCCCTGCAGCCCCACTCGCCCGCCCTGCCCGTGCCCCATCCCGCAGCCCTGGCCCATCACATCCCCACCATGGTGCTGTGAAGGAGCCCCCCGCCCCGTTCCGGCAGCAAAGACCCCGCGCCGAGAGAGGAGATGAACTCGAGGGGAAGGGTGGGCGCGGAGGTGGGGTTGCTCGGTGTGTTTTGAAATGGGTGATGGTTTAGTTTTGGTGTTGGGGTCCTGGCAGGGGAGTGGGAGTGGGTGAGGAGAACCCCAGGATCTGCCCCGGGGTGATGGGGTGCGGGGTGGGATGCTGGCCCCTGGGGTTGGCAGGGGGAGAAGGGGTGCAGGGACGTGGCAAGATGTCCTGTGTGGGGGTGCTGGGGCACTGAGGAGGGAGCAGGGCCCAGAGGAGACACAGCTGGGGTCTGCAGATCATTGGATGGAGAGGAAAACTGCTTTTCTCCCTCCTCCTCTGCTCCAGGGAGTGCCCAGAGAGAGACGTGCCCTGCTGCAAGGCTGGCACAGCCCTGTTGTGGCCACCCCACTTATACCTGTTTACCCAGGGACAGCTTTGCCCGTGGTGGCCCTGCCCAAGGGACACGTTTCCCTCCTCAGGAGCCCTGGTTTAGCAGACAACTGCATTTTCCTCTCCCTCAAACCCCCTTGCCTGCTCCCCCCCCCAAGTTCGAGTTGGAGCTTCCCTGGCACCTCGGGGCAGTGCTACAGAGGGGACAGCCCAAGCACCACATGCCAGGGGGAAATGCCCATTCAAGGGCAGGTTTTGTGGGGGACCCTGTGCTCTGCTGGACTGTGCCTGCTCCAGCCCCAGGAGCACCCCTTCCCATCCAGCCCCATCCCTCTCCATCCCTCCCCACCCTTCCTCACCGCCACGAGGGAACATTTTGGCTGTCACGTCTGCTGCCCTCTGGGGACAGAGAAAAACCCATCCCTGGAACAGCTGTATCCCTCAGGACAACCCTAAGCGCCCTCTGGAGTCCTGCCACAACCGGTGGCTGTGTATCATAAAGCTTAAAAGAAGGTATTCTAATATTAATTGTAAGTCTAAGATGTATAAAGTTCTCACAAACTGTTTTACTTCCAGAAAAAAACAAACAAAACAAAAACAACCCAACAAAAAAAAAAACCCAACAAACTGTCACTTTAACTTTGTAAATATTTATGTAAACATTATTTACAAAACTTTGATATTATATATTATTTGATTGTATATGTACACAGTGTAAATACATTTGTACTTCTCTTGTATTCTAAATAAAAATTACTTGGAACATTTATCATTTAGAAGACGGACAGTTTGGAGCCCTTTATTTGGCTGTGGGAAGGATGTAGCAGTTGGGAGGAGTGAATGTTTAGACTGGCACAAGGGGAATGAAGAGATGTAGCATCATCTGTTGGACCTAATACTGCAGTTGGGGACAGATCAGCTTTGGGAAAAACAAGCCCTTTTTCAGATGTAGTGAGTGCAGGAGTGGGTGATGTGATCTGGTACCTTCCTGTCTCCCTGTGCACAGCCTCTTATTTGAAGCCAGAAGTGTTGATATCCTTTGATTGGCATCCTTTGTTAGATGCCATGAAACGCTGGCTGTTTCAGCTGGGATGGGCTACAGGTGTGAGTCCTCCTTGGAAAAAGCAACATTCGATTTTGGCCTGGAGGTCCCTGCTGGCTTCTTCGGTGTTTTCTCAGCAGCTCTGGAGTCGAGAGCCGAACTGCTGTTCGAATCAAACGAACGAAACCTCCACATACACGTATCATTTGGAGCAGCTTTGCTGGGGGAAGGAGCAAAGCCCTCCTCCCTCACAGAGGCGCAGGCAAGCCTGGCACACGCCTGGCTGTGGCCCAAGGGGGTCCGGGGGACCCCAG